GGCGGCGGCGCCTGGCGAGGGCCGCCCCGGCCCCCGAGCTTGTTTGTGAAACGCGGGGGAATTACCTCCTTGCGCTCGCTGCCGTCTCTGAAAGGTTCCCGTGCAGGGATCGGCTTATGCCTTAGGGCCTGGCGGGGGCTGGGTGTGAGGAGGCCGCTCTGTGTGCCGTCCCTGGGAGCGGGCGCGGCTGTTGCTTTTGCTGCTCGCAGGCCAGAGCAATATCTGGCTTTACCTGATGTGCAGGGCTTACGTTTAATGTTCGTGTCTTTGCGGTTCAGCATCCTTTGGCTGTGTTATCGAATGCTTCAGCGATGCAGGAGAGTGGCAGGAGCTGGATGATTAGCCTAACTGGAATATGCCGAGGGTGGGCTTGATTACTTAAAAAACTGAAATACAGGGATATGTATATTTATCTCTGTAATGGTAAACGGCTGCCATGGGCAATGGGAAAATCACTGTGAAGGCGTGTGAAGGGGTTGAAGAAGGGAAGCTTTTGAGCGCATTACTGATCAGTGCTGCTTCTCGCAGCAGGAAGCTGTGCCGCCTGGGAGAGACGGAGAGAAGCTGTCAACAGCGCGGAGCCGGGAGGGAGGTTCGAATTTCTGCAGAAAAAGTGCCCGGCACCGTATTGCCAAAAATACGTCCAGTCTTTGGGAGGGATGCCCCTTTTGGAGCAGAAGTTCGTATTTATAGAAACTTTATGTTGCTCGATTAATGAAAAAACACTTTTGATGGATGGGCTCTGGAATGAAGATGGTGTTGACAAAAGCTGACTTAAGTTTTCTCTACCTGGCCCGGCGGGAAAACAACTTGCAGTAGTTGTCTTCTAGGCTGACAGAGGCAGGCTGCTGTTAATAACACTGTTATATTCCAGTCTGTTTCCCATTAAATTTTCTCTTGGTTGTGATGTTAAATGCAGACAGCCAGGGGTAATAAAGCAAAACAGTTTGTCATAAAATGTCTTCTGGAGAAATGCAGCTTTTTTTTTTTTCCCCTTTCATGTGACTGTGTTTAGAACATGAAATAGATCTGATAACTGGAAGGTGTTCAGCAGCATGTCAGATAGTTTTCTACTTTTTTTTTTTTTGTCCTGAACTGTAGTTTTCAAATAGCTTCTAATGGTATCACAGAAGAAAACTGTGCTTTGCCATGATAGCTGCACTCAGCTGTCCTTGTTATTCTAGTGGTGTCAGGCTTCTCATTTGAGGTAAGTGTAGCACACAGTTGAGAATGAAACCTGCTCTGCTATCTCTGCACAGCACGTGTGCAGGTCTTGGTGACTTTTCATCTCTTATTACTTGGGCAGTGATCGGTTCTGTTCATGGTTACCTGAGCTTTGTAGTCTCTGAGATACCTTGTCCCACTGAGGGGAAACTGTTAAGCTATGTTAAATGTGGAACACCTCAGTTGAACTGCTTAGCAAGCTGATGCCAGAGCAGGTAGGGCCTCCTTGCAGATGTGTAGGGAGGGATGTAGGAATAATATAGGAAGAGGAGTTTAAAGGCTGCCTGATCACTGTCTTCAGCAACCTGTGGAAAAACTTTCTTTGCAATCCAAATGTGATCAGTTGGGTAACTTTCCTCTATTGTGGATTCTGAGTTTTTATCCATCTTCCACATAATAAAAAATTGGTGTTGAACAGCAACTAGAAAGCTTCGGTTTAATGTGGTAGAGTTGTCTTTGAAAATACATATATTTTAAATAGTTCTCATGTTGCAATTTTCCAGATGTTGACACTGAAAACTTGAGAGGTTTTAGCTAAAACTTGACTTTCTGCTAATCTGGGGGGAAGGAGTACCGTAAATGGGAGATTGGGGGAAAACACCTTGGCAAAATCTGGGAGGAGGTATCATTTGGTCTAATAACATATGCTGCTACTTTGTTAGGATCTTGACTATTTTAAAGTATCACTGCTACAATGTCATAACTTAGTACAAAACTTACATCATTATTAGTAATTTAGTTACTCAGAAAGGTTTGTGACTGCAGTCTTTAATTATGACACTTTTTTTTTAGCTACTCCGACTGTGGGAATTAATTTGATACTCTGGTTAGTAATAAAAGAGTTTTCTTCTCTTTTTGTGTAGGCTGCAGAAACTGCTAGCTTGGAAGAGCAGTTGCAAGGATGGGGAGAAGTGATTTTGATGACGGATAAAGTTCTTCGCTGGGAGAGAGCCTGGTTTCCTCTGGCGCTGATGAGTGTTGTTTCCTTTTCTTTTCTGTAAGTAGCTTGCGGAGGGAGCCTAAAACACCATTGCATTTTCATGGCTAGTAGCAAACCTATTAAGTAAATTAGTAAGACATCTTTAAAAATCTAATAGGAAGGCTCTTACTCCAGGTTCTGTTTCTGAATGCGTGTGAACTTTGAAAAGAAAAACCTTCAGTGCATTGAGAACAGGAAGTAACACGAGTCACATCCTGCTCAGAGGGGGGGCAGTGCTTTCTGCAAAAGCTGTTTGCCAGCAATGGTTGCTGTAGCTTTTTTACCATGCTCAGCTCTATGTTCTTGGTTGGTGTGTTCATATTCTGCCCTCATCCTTTGTATCCTGCTTCTTAGACAAATCTGGTTATCTCCTTTGGCTTTTTTCCCCAAACCAACAGCAGCAGCATTATGGAAAACTTGTTTCCATAGGGCAAACTTTCCTATTCTGCATCTTCGGTGTGGTGCTTAGGATGAGTTCAATTGGTTTTGCACAGCTTGGTTTTTTTTACATTCTCTGTCCTGTCCTTTGAGAAAGGAGGAGAAGGAAAGACTGCACGTAACTTTCAGTCAACGGGATGGGAGGGTGTTGCCTGTTTCTGGATTGGAGATACAGAACTGGCTTGCTGGAGGCACTGTACATGCTTTTACGTAACGTGGTAGTAGTCAAGGTGACCCCAACCTGCCTTGTACAGATAAGTGTCCATGCCAGCTGCGGAGTTTGCCAGTTGCATGTGTTTTTGGAGTAAGGAAAAGAGGGGAGTTATAAAAATAAATGTTGAACCAGGTGAGGTAGGGATAATTGGTCTTCTGGCTAATATAAATTTTATGGTCCTCAAGGGAGGTGAGGAGGATAGAAAGCAAATGAAACTGAAAAGTAACTTTTAAAAGAAGTAATTGCATGAACTTCAGGGTATTCTGTTATAAATTCTGTGATTATAGCAGGAAAGATCTTGTGTGAATAATACTTTGAGGAAATAGACAGAACTGCTTCAGATTCTGAATTGGTACTTCATCAAAAATGAACTTGAACATTCAGTGCAGTAGCACTGTGCCAGATGTATAGAAAGACTCGCCCTGCAATGGACTGTGTCATTTCTTTACTTTTATTACTTCAATGTTCAGGAAGTTCTGTTAAGTGCAAATAAGTAGCACGGGGCACAGCTGAGCGTTAACAGACACTTAGAGATGAGCTAGTTCTTGCCCGGTACCCATACTGCTGTATTTGGGTGATGGCACACTTAATATGTAAAAGCACAGCGCTGTCCTCATCGGAGATTTATGGCTTCTTGTCCAGAGCAGGTTTAACTAGCTCTCACAGGTGAGACAGAGCGAACGACAACCCGTAGTGGATCTGAATTCTGTGACTTACTTAAGAACCAACAAGATTAGAGCTTTCACTCCACCTCGTTGTTTCATATGTTCACTCACTCATCCTCATCCCCCAGTCAGTGTTAAGTTCACTAGATGGTCAACTTCGGAGAGCAATAATGATGAATTTTTACTTCTACTGAATTTTATACTATGGTTGCTGTATTGTAGCATTTTCTTCTCTAGCACATTAAGAAAATTGTATTTTTTTTATTTGTATTTCTTTGTAATAGTGTTGAAGTACTTAAACCTTTCTTTATTTTAGCAACAGGAGCAAATTTGAAAATTTTATTGAGGGTGGGTCTACTGTTTGAAGTCCTGAGCCAGTCTGAAGACGTGACTAAATATGTCTAATATTTAGCAGTCTGAGCATCCAGAAATCATTGCTGCTGTTATCTTTCCGCAGGATGATCTACTACTTGGACCCGTCAGTTCTTTCAGGCGTCTCCTGTTTCGTTATGTTCCTCTGTTTGGCTGATTATCTTGTTCCTGCTCTTGCACCTAGAATCTTTGGCTCTAATAAATGGTGAGGAAGGCTTGAATTAAAACAGTTTCTTAAGTGTAAATAAATTATGAACTTTATCAAAATGGATACCTGACTTGCAAATATCAAATGATTACTTTGTAGAGTCATTGTAGTAAGAAATTGGCAATCTCTATAGTATATGAAGTGAGGACACTAGTAAGATGTCCTTCATTCTTCTTTTTCTGAAAGATTACTACTACAACATATCTTTATTGTTACTTCTCTTCTAGAAAAATAAGATTTTTTTTTTTAAGGAGTAGGCACATTCTTTGCTCTCCATTAAGGATGCTAGTTAGTTCTGCTAAACTAGTTTTTAGTAATTAATGGATAATAGATACTGAGAACTAAAATTACGAAGAAGGGTATTGGATTATATGTTTGGGAAGAGTGGCAGCAGTACATACAATGAAGGAAAAGAGTAATGCAGAGAGAGTATGAATGTGATCATAGGTGATTGAAACAGATTTGAAGAGGGGCAAGGCTTATAGAAAAGCAGTAAGGTGGGGAAGAACCTTAACCTTATTTGGACTAAATTTTGAGTTAAAAGTAAATTTTAGTGTATCTGCTTTAAGCTGACTAGTGGATAAATGTTCTTGTCTAATAATGAACCAACATAAAAGCCAAAATAATACACACTGGGATCAGGTGTATATTACTTGTGTGTATCCCACTGGTATCAGATTAAAATCCATGGTCTCCTGGTTTGAATGTGGTTGCTCTTTGGGAGCCAATTTAAGAGAGTCAGTGTACAGAAAAATTACATGGGCAGTTGCATTACAGTGCTCAATGACGATAAGGTATACAACTAAGTGAAGCAAACGCCAGGGTAAGTATTGGATAAATTTTTACTGCTGGAAAACTACCATGGGAGATTTCTAAAATTTCAGATGAAATCTTGAATTCTTATTTCTGACTTTTTTTCTTTAATAAAAGGACTACAGAACAGCAGCAAAGATTTCATGAGATTTGCAGCAATTTGGTAAAATCTCGTCGCCGAATTGTTGGCTGGTGGAAACGTCTCTTCACCCTGAAGGAAGAGAAGCCTAAAATGGTATTGAGTTCTAGGAGTTCGTCTCTATTGTCTTAAGGTTCTATTTGTTTTGTTTGTCTTAAGTATTTTAGCAAGGCACATGTCTGAATAAACTGGTATTTCAAACCAAGAACCAGCAGTTCTGGCTGTGATTTAATGCCAGTCACACATCTTATTCAAACCTGGAGCGGCAAGATGCATGACTTTAAACTTGCAATACTGTGCAGTTAGGAGCATACCCTTGATAGAAACCCAGCTTCACTTTGTCTTATTTGGATAGGTCAATTTTTGGAAACACAGCTTGTTTCCAGTGTACAGGAACCGTCCAAAAAACTAGATCTTAGCAATGTGTCAGCTTAGGTACATGAACTGGTGGGTTTACTGTCCTGAAAACAGCTTCAGGTGCTGTGTGAGGCTGAAGTTGTGTCAGTGGGGGTGGCGTAGTCTGACTCTAAGGGGTATCTGGACAGAAAAGAACTGGCATCCTGTAAAACTGATGGTCTGAAAATAAACGGGAACATACAATTGTAGACTCTAATCTCAGTTGTAACAAGCCTATGCATAGGTATCGCTTGTGGAAGAGCCAGCTAACTTGAAGTTAGTTTTAAATGTTGAATTGTTGCCAGATGCTGAAGGGAACGGGGAGAATTCCCAACAGATCAGTGATAACTGTTCCCTTTTCATTTTTCAGTACTTCATGACCATGATTTTTTCTCTTGCTGTGGTTGCCTGGATTGGACAGCAAGTTCACAATCTCTTTCTGACCTATCTTATTGGTAAGTGTGCAGCATACAAAACAGAAGTAACTTTTTTGTTAGCTGCCTGAAATGGTATGAGGCTGGTAGAAGCAATTTTTGATTATGAGTGCGGTGATTTTTTTTTGTTGTTGCTGGTTATATTTTTCTGTTTTCAAGCAGTTAATGGGGCTTAAGGGAAGCAAGGAATTGCAAGGTGACAGAAGCTTGTTAAAGGAGTATTAAGTAATTCCTTTTTTTTTTTCTTCTCTAGTAAGTTTCTTGTTGCTGTTTCCTGGACTAAACCAGCATGGGATCATTACAAAGTATGTTGGAATGGCGAAAAGGGAGATAAACAAACTTCTCAAGCACAAGGAAAAGAAAAATGAATGAAGACTTAACTGCTGTTCACTCTTGTAAAAGATTTCCCTGGGAACAGTTTTGAGAATTAACGTATAATTAAGACAATAGAAGTTGTATTGCTCACTGGCTTTTTTTTTTATTGGCTCCCTGATGAAGTGAAAAAGTCACTCTAGCAACTGCTGTGGGTTTGTGTGTCTCTTGCTGTGCTGACTAGGGTTCTGCAGCTGATCTTATATGAAAGATCCTGACCTAGGTGTCTTCACCAAACTAAGAGGCCCTGTGAATACATGCCCCTACTCAAGAAACAGCAGAGTTGCAATGCGTGATAGCGTTTCTGTAACTGTGTGTTAGTTTCACTGATCATTAATTTGTGGCTACAGCAAGTATGAAAGGCAGTTCTGAAAGCTTGCACTTCTTGGAGGCTTGTTACTACTGATCCTTGTGGAAGGAGGACAATTAGCTGAATAAGAATGATCATAGCTGAGGGTGCATGCCCAAAATCGCTGCAGGTGGTGATCCCATTGTCTCACTGAATCCGTTTGCTTTTTTTGGCTGCATATACCAGATTATCTGTTAAATAGGGGTCTGGAATATATAAATTTGTAGTTCAGTTATTTAGCTGTAGTGTAAACTTCAACTCGTTGCACTGAGACTGTAGAAAATGAGTTAAGGTGTGTGTTACCTTAACAGCTGATTGTTCTAAAAACTGCTGTTGTCATGGAGCCATGTAGCACGTTTGGTTTTATGAATGTTGTTTGTATACAAAATCACCTTGAATATGCTAGGTTGGTCTCTGTAAATAAGCCTGTCTGAATTGTTTGTGCTTTTCTATGACCTCTCCCTCTTTTTTTTTTAAACTGAACTTTTTTCTTTAAAAAGCTAAAACCTGTGTTAATGCATTTTAAAAGTTTACTGTTTTAAAATGAACTCTCTTCAGTGTCTATTGTAACTGTTGAATAGGTAAATACAGACTAAAGAGAAACTTCTTTAAGTCTTGCTCTTTGTGAACATACAGCAAACTGTGTAAATGCGTCTTTCAGTCAGGAACGGGAGCTGGGCACGGCGTGCTAGTGCCATGCGGTAGTCAGCGCGCAGTGTTCTAACAGAAAAACACCTTTTGTTTGAAATAGCTCACTAAATAGTAAAACTTTTATCAGCTGTGACAGGACACTGGCAGCTCCTGCTGCAGAGGGGAAAGGCTGTAATGTCATCTGTAGTTGATTAACACCGGTATAAGTGACCGAGGCTGTGGGCACATCAGACCCAGTCTGTAAAACTTTTGATAGATCTGAACTGCGGGGAGGCGTTACAGTGCAATCTTGAAACCGTTATTTAGAAAATGCTCTACTTCACTGGCACAGACTGTCGCTGGAAGGAATCCTGGGTATAAAAAGGCAAGCGGTGTCACGGCACAGTGTCGCAGAGCTGCCTTCGGGAGAGATGGTGGCAGCCCCTCTACCCCCACGTTAACACTAGCTTAGAGCGCTCGCTGTACATTTGCTGTTACAGTACGGAGAGCCGTGCTCCCGTTTTAAGTTAAAATTCGGTAGAAACACAACCCATCCACAGGGTGCAGCTTTGTTCACCTCAGGCCTTCAGCTTCCTGGTGAAACCCCTCGCAGTAGGGAGTAGCTGTGCCGTTAAAACTTCAGTGAAAATCAAATATGCTAGGAATTCCTCTGTTGTGTTCTGTCTTGTGGGGAAAAAAAAATTAAAACCAGGAGGGGAAAACTGCAGAACGGCAGCCACGGTACCGTCTATTTTGTTGTCGGTTGGGGTGGTTTTTCGGTCGGTTTGGGGCTGGT